TGGGTATAGCTGTAGTAAGTTACGCCAAGATTTACGTATTATTTACGCTCATCTTAACTTACGACGGCTTTGTGAAACGGCTGTAAAACCTACGATTTATTTACGATGAACGTACGATGACACGTAGATTTACGAAGGCTTTGTGAAACGATACCCAGGACTCTGAGGTTAAACGTGAGGTCTACAAAATCGTGATTTTGCAACACGTGTTTATTCAGTTGAGATTTTAGTTGCAATAGGTGCAATGTTCTATATAACAGACTGATCTTAAATGAGTAGAGCTATTCTAGATTGGACAGCTTTTGATGGAGGATAATGACTTAATTAATGGCATAAATACCCGCGGTATTTTTTTTTTCCAATAGTTAGTTTCAGAAGCATTTAAGAGTTTTTCCATGTCTTTTTTTTCAATACCAACAGGTCTTAAGACTTGTCATACTCTGTGGATGCTTTCTCGTTGTTATATAATTGTCGATCTATTTGTGTTAGCTTGTGTTGTTAGATTGCTACCTGATTGACGCTTACCCAACATCTACTATATTCATATTTATATAAAACGGTCATCTAAGAAAAAGAAGAAGAAGAAGAAGAACAACAACAACAACAACAACAATATATTCATAGATTTGGAGGCAATATTAAAGATACGATTTAAAACACTTTTACCTTTTTATCTCTCTTTCTTTGTTTTCTTTCTTTTTTTATGGAACCACATGTATAATTTAAAAAAATTTGAAACTTATTTCAGTTCATTAATACTGGGATATCCCAGATTAATATTTATTTTTATTACTTTGAAATGTTTGAAAATTCTCATATTTAATATGTATTGGGTGCCATTACATCAAGGTATACATTGAACTGATCCCATACTATATATATATATATACAACATTTACGATTATGCATGATAAATACATATATAAATATCATTTCGTGATAACATTGAATGATCTATATATATCAGTAGTTACCTATTATTATGAAAACTGTCCATATAAAATGTCTATTTTTGTTGCATCTGTATTGAAGTTTACATTCCTAAATACGACTATTCTTGTCGACATGACCTTGTCGATACTCAGTAGTTAGTACTTCGGTACTGACGTGATGTATAACAAACTTTTCTCAAATCACCATTGATGAATTAAGAAATTCAGGTTCCAACTCCCTCAGACAGCGTTGATCTTAGGTGAATTAAGAAATGAAGGTTCCAACTCCCTCAGACAGCATTTATCTTAGAAGAATTAAGAAACTCAGGTTCCAACTCCCTCAGACAGCGTTGGTCTTAGATGAATTAAGAAACTCAGGTTCCAACTCCCTCAGACAGCGTTTATCTTAGAAGAATTAAGAAACTCAGGTTCCAACTCCCTCAGACAGCGTTTATCTTAGATGAATTAATAATGGAAGTTCCAACTCCCTCAGACAGCGTTGATCTTAGAAGAATTAAGAAACTCAGGTTCCAACTCCCTCAGACAGCGTTTATCTTAGAAGAATTAAGAAACTCAGGTTCCAACTCCCTCAGACAGCGTTGATCTTAGATGAATTAAGAAACTCAGGTTCCAACTCCCTCAGACAGCGTTTATCTTAGAAGAATTAAGAAACTCAGGTTCCAACTCCCTCAGACAGCGTTTATCTTAGATGAATTAAGAAGTGGAGGTTCCAACTCCCTCAGACAGCGTTGATCTTAGATGAATTAAGAAACTCAGGTTCCAACTCCCTCAGACAGCGTTGATCTTAGATGAATTAAGAAATGGAGGTTCCAACTCCCTCAGACAGCGTTGATCTTAGATGAATTAAGAAACTCAGGTTCCTACTCCCTCAGACAGCGTTTATCTTAGAAGAATTAAGAAACTCAGGTTCCAACTCCCTCAGACAGCGTTGATCTTAGATGAATTAAGAAACTCAGGTTCCATCTCCCTCAGACAGCGTTGATCTTAGATGAATTAAGAAACTCAGGTTCCAACTCCCTCAGACAGCGTTTATCTTAGATGAATTAAGAAACTCAGGTTCCAACTCCCTCAGACAGCGTTGATCTTAGATGAATTAAGAAACTCAGGTTCCAACTCCCTCAGACAGCGTTGATCTTAGATGAATTAAGAAACTCAGGTTCCAACTCCCTCAGACAGCGTTGATCTTAGATGAATTAAGAAATGGAGGTTCCAACTCCCTCAGACAGCGTTGATCTTAGATGAATTAAGAAATGGAGGTTCCAACTCCCTCAGACAGCGTTGATCTTAGATGAATTAAGAAACTCAGGTTCCAACTCCCTCAGACAGCGTTTATCTTAGAAGACTTTGCCTATTGCAGATCCCTTTTTGTCATATAGCTCTCTATGTGTGTTGGTCCTATACATCCGGGGCTTTCAAATATTTGGGTTGGAGCGTTCCTGGTGAAGGTAAATCAGAAAAGCGCTTTGAACGCACGAAATTAATCAAGTGTTATTTTCATTATCATTGAAGAGAAGGTCAGTCTTAGTTTTTCGCCTTCATGGGTGTAAGAGTCGAGGGAAAAGGGCAAAACTGTGTATTTGCCACCCCCGCCACTTTACTGGTAAAAAAAAATATTGAAAAAAAAAATAATTTGATAATGAAAGAGAACACTGACAAACCTTTAGACCATTAGACTATAGAAAAAGGTGGGTTTTTTTCTTGTTAGTACTTTTAGAAGTTTGTCCTTACTTTTGCTATCTTTTTGTTGTCCATTCGTACGCCACTGCCTTTAAGACGATAACTTTTTAATGTTACCAATTTTTACAGTGAAAACCATCATTATTCTGTAGAAGCAAACTCGTCTTATTGGTGCATAGACATTTCATCATATATAATTGTCACCGTTATTAGTAGGTATATATATGAACACTTTGGCGAGACTTATTAATAAGAAAAGAATAAACTGCAATTGTTGTTCAATCACTGTGTCTCGTATTTTTATGGGATTAATATCAATTTGATATCTTATAGTCTTAAGCAATACTAAACTGTATCGTTTACGGTTATCTACATAGTTTTTAATGGGTTTTGCTTCCTGTACTGCTTATTGCGTAGCTGTATGAAATATTCTATAAAGTACAGCAACCAATATTAAGTGTAGTATGACATGGTTTCTTATCAGCATGTTAACTGTATTTAGAGTGTCACTGTATGCGAGCGACGCCGGATATTGGTACCAGCTGAAGTGGAGAGATTCGCACAATGCAAGCTGCAGTACATATCAACAAATAAGTTGCCGTACACCATCGAAACTTTGTCTTTGTGAAACGGTCGGTGCTTTCTGAGCAGTAACGGTGAGCCGGGTATTTTTTTCATTTTTTTTTTATCTACATTACCGGTATTTTATAGTAAAGTGCTTTTTTCCTGTACTGTTGTTTTTTATTTATAGAACGTTATTATATGTTCACACGTGCGTATTGTTAATTGACAATGAGGGATGTGATCTAAACTGAAAAAAATGTTGTTAACCCTGTCACCCATTATGAGAGTGTGGATGGGTGTTTACAGAATAGAGAATTCGCGAATAATGGACAAACTTGAATAAAAAGAATAGAGAAAAATGGAAAAAAAAAGAAAAGAGAATAATGAGGTGCTAAAATATAAAGAATAGAGAATAATGGACAAAAAGTATAAAGACTAGAGAAAAATGACATAAAATATTAAAGAATTCAGAAATGAAGGAATCCCATCCAGACCCTCTTCTATGTGCCTGCAAGGAACTTTGCCGCGGTCAGTATTGTAATTGTCAATGTCATATCTTAATGTTTTTCGTTATTTTGGGGGAATTGGCTGCTAAAGAAAGATTTTTGGTTGTTTCTGTCAGTAAATTTATTTACAACGCATCTACAGATACAGATAAGTCTGTCTCATATCTTGACTTACATCTCGAAATTGACAATGAGGGTCGGTTGAAAACAAAACTTTACGACAAAAAGGGATGATTTTCAGCTTCCCAATTGTGAACTTTCCATTTCTCTGTAGCAACATTCCAGCTGCGCCTGCATATAGAGTATATATCTCTCTCAGTTGATACCATATTCCAGGCGGCTTGTATTTCCTATCATGACTTTCTTGAAAGAGGGTTGCTGCTCTCAAGAAAGCTATTAAACCAAGAGTTCCAAGTGGTGAAGTTGAAGTCATCCCTCCGTAAATTTTACCGTGACGCCATCACGAGTTGGTTGACCGTTATGCGGAATATCCGTTTCACAGATGATAGCGGATATGTTCCAATTGTCACCGGTAACTAAAATCCAGTCTTTCTTTCCTCGAATGTGACCTTTCGAATTAGACTTATTACCGAGTTTGTACTCACAAGAGAAACACGACTGGTGCCACATGTGGAGCAGGATCTGTATACCATTCGGGAGCACCTGAGATCACCCCCAGTTTTTGGTGGGGTTCGTGTTGCTCAGTCTTTAGTTTTCTATGTTGTATTTTGTGTACTGTTAATTGTCTGTTTGTCTTTTTCTTTTTAAGTCATGGCGTTGTCAGTTTATTTTGGACTTATGAGTTTGAATGTCCCTTTTGGTATCTTTCGCCTCTCTTTTACGTTACCGTGGACGATTTAGAGTTTCAGCGACACATTACGGTATGAACACCTGTCTGTTGTTGAAGACTGTTAGTTCAATCCCATCTCGATGTCCTTTGGTTATTTTGTCGATGGGTTGCTGTCTCGTTTATGTGTACAACACGTCTTTCAATTTTTATTTCGCTTGATACTTACTAATTGCTTTTTGAAGAATGTTTAAGTTGCTCAGTGTTTATTACTAGTGATATATGTACGTGTTATGTTGCCCATACACACGCTCTTATATTTGGCAATAAATATTCTTTATTCTATATTCCTATATATTTCCTTTCCTAAGTCTTTGTTGCTATCAACAGAATGTTGTCATAGAAAATATAGTGTGTATACTACAGTTTATAAAGAAGGCCATTGTTGTCCTATATTTTGTTAAACATTTATGACTGGTTTTTAGCACGACCTAATGTATTTTTTGGCACCTGTTTCCGGAGAGTTCCAGTCACGTTCGCGTGAAAGAAACTGAACTCTTGAACTGATTCTATGGAATATATGCTAATTATTTATTTGTTTAAATAACATTTTTATTCTCAGAAGTTAACAAATTGTGGAAATATAAGTCATTTAGCGTAAGTTTCAGTATAAATAGCTGAAAATTTTCCATGTTATTGAACGAGTTCAAATAGTCAATGGTCTTTGTTTGACGTCAACGGGAAGAATTTGTGTCTGATTTCTCAATGTCAATCAGGTTATATGTTTGAAAAGCCCATATTTCTCAATTTAATGTTTCATTTCCTTAAAGGTCTTTTTAAGCGATATGAAGTTACATTATGGTTTGATACAGTTAAAATGTACATGTATCTATTAGATATTAGACACATGGTACATTTAAACCTGACATCATGTTTGCAATCTATTTCCAGTTACATGTATATATAGCAGATGCTTTAAATTACCTGTTCGTAATTGTAGAACTGAACAATGTAGTCAATCTTTGTAAGAACAATTTCAGCCTCCGGTCAACTTGTGTGAACTTACATGTACCTTGTAGAAAGCTTCAAAAACAATGTTACTCTCACATCTTAAGACAAGTATGAGCAGCGTTCTCTTACAAATTATGACGAAGATATTTGTATTGTGACGACAAGTTTTCCTCGAAATGCATGAAAAGTTTCATATGCCTATGCCCCCCCCCCCCCCCCAGCATAATCAGTACAGTGTCATATAAAATCCAGGTCCGTTCGTCCAAAATCACGTTCACTCCCATTCATGTTCACCCCACCACAGATTCGCACCCTTTTTATTGGTTTTGTGTTGAATAAAGTTTCAATCATGTTTAAGTACATGAAGTAAGTGTATTGCAATTAATAAATTGTTCTTATTGTTTTAAAATAAAGTGACATACTAAAAATGTAAACAGGTTTCCTTTAGTGTTGTTTTGTTTAATTAATTATTTTGACGAAAATGAATCATGAATAAAAAAGTAGTCATGACAATTAAGGCAAAGTTCATTCATTTAAGATACTAAATCTTCATTGAGTTTACTCATACCAAACTAACTACAATGTATAGCAGTATTTACTTCAAAGCTAGTTATAACAACAATCATGATTTTCAAACACAGAACAATAATACCAAATTTGGCTTTGTAAATACCAATTAACAGTTATCATACATAATTAGCATTTAATCATTAATCAATTGCAACAAATCACCAAAAAAAAATATTACATTTAAAAGTTCCAGAATTTTTAAAGAAAATTTAAATCTGTATCTGTGAGAACGAACTGTAGGGAGTGAACAGACCCAATACCGCCAAATGTAATGGAAGATGATTTATTGGTTTTGATGCGGTTAGAAAAGGGTTAAATTCTAGCATTTTATTTTAGATGTTTTAGTGCTTGAAGCCTATTATTCAAGGTTTTTCTTGCAGACTGGTATTATGAGAGCAAACTGTAAGCTACATGTAAGCAACAACATGTACATATATCTTAAACAACAAATGAAAACACACAACTTCCATTAATTTCTTGTGTTATTTTAAATTAAGTAATTATGTTCACACAGTCCCTTTTGATGGGCCTTAAAAAAATATTCCAGTCATCTATTAACATAATTAAGCATATTGTTTTCTATTGCAATATTCAAAAGATTGTATTGGTCCTTTATAGCTTATTTTGGTGGTCAGGGCCCACAATAATAGCAAACTCGGATACTAGATCATTGCTAGTGTTTCTCTCAGTTTTAAAAAAATGGTAAGGTTAAATATTGCTCTGAGGACTTGAGTGTGAAGATGGATACTTTTTATTATTAAACGCCATATCCCAAATTTGAAGCTCAAAGGATTTTGTTTTCAGTGAATATTTCCAGAACTGCAGTTAATGCTCTAAATCTCACATTAGATAGAAAGTTGGATTGTTAGACCCGGCTCAGTATTTTAATGCTCCTTATCTCACAGTAGATAGAAAGTTGGATTGTTAGACCCGGCTAAGTATTTTAATGCTCTTTAGTCTTAATCTCACAATAGATAGAAAGTTGGATTGTTAGACCCGGCTCAGTAATTTTATGCTCTAAATCTCACAGTACATAGAAAGTTGGATTGTTTAGACCCGACTCACTATTTTAATGCTCTAAATCTCACAGTAGATAGAAAGTTGGATTGTTAGACCTGGCTCAGTATTTTAATGCCCTTAATCTCACAGTAGATAGAAAGTTGGATTGTTTAGACCCGGCTCAGTATTTTAATGCTCTAAATCTCGCAGTAGATAGAAAGTTGGATTGTTTAGACCCGGCTAAGTATTTTAATGCTCTTTAGTCTTAATCTCACAATAGATAGAAAGTTGGATTGTTAGACCCGGCTCAGTAATTTTATGCTCTAAATCTCACAGTACATAGAAAGTTGGATTGTTTAGACCCGACTCACTATTTTAATGCTCTAAATCTAACAGTAGATAGAAAGTTGGATTGTTAGACCTGGCTCAGTATTTTAATGCCCTTAATCTCACAGTAGATCATGTAGATAGAAAGTTGGATTGTTTAGACCCAGCTCAGTATTTAACATGTTTAATGCTCTGAATCTCACAGTAGATAGAAAGTTGGATTGTTAGACCCAGCTCAGTATTTTAATGCTCCTTATCTCATAGTAGATAGAAAGTTGGATTGTTAGACCCGGCTCAGTATTTTAATGCTCTAAATCTCACAGTAGATAGAAAGTTGGATTTTTAGACCTGGCTCAGTATTTTAATGCTCTGAATCTTACAGTAGATAGAAAGTTGGATTGTTAGACCTGGCTCAGTATTTTAATGCTCTGAATCTCACAGTAGATAGAAAGTTGGATTGTTAGACCTGGCTCAGTATTTTAATGCCCTTAATCTCACAGTAGATAGAAAGTTGGATTGTTTAGACCCGGCTAAGTATTTTAATGCTCTTTAGTCTTAATCTCACAATAGATAGAAAGTTGGATTGTTAGACCCGGCTCAGTAATTTTATGCTCTAAATCTCACAGTACATAGAAAGTTGGATTGTTTAGACCCGACTCACTATTTTAATGCTCTAAATCTAACAGTAGATAGAAAGTTGGATTGTTAGACCTGGCTCAGTATTTTAATGCCCTTAATCTCTCAGTAGATAGAAAGTTGGATTGTTTAGACCCGGCTCAGTATTTTAATGCTCTAAATCTCGCAGTAGATAGAAAGTTGGATTGTTTAGACCCGGCTCAGTATTTTAACGCTCTAAATCTCACAGTAGATAGAAAGTTGGATTGTTAGACCAGGCTCAGTATATGCTCTAAATCTCACAGTAGATAGAAAGTTGGATAGTTAGACCTGGCTCAGTATTTAAATGCTCTAAATCTCACAGTAGATAGAAAGTTGGATTGTTTAGACCCGGCTCAGTATTTTAACATGTTTAATGCTCTGAATCTCACAGTAGATAGAAAGTTGGATTGTTAGACCCGGCTCAGTATTTTAATGCTCTAAATCTCACAGTAGATAGAAAGTTGGATTGTTAGACCAGGCTCAGTATTTTAATGCTCTAAATCTCACAGTAGATCATGTAGATAGAAAGTTGGATTGTTTAGACCCAGCTCAGTATTTAACATGTTTAATGCTCTGAATCTCACAGTAGATAGAAAGTTGGATTGTTAGACCCGGCTCAGTATTTTAATGCTCCTTATCATCTCATAGTAGATAGAAAGTTGGATTGTTAGACCCGGCTCAGTATTTTAATGCTCTAAATCTCACAGTAGATAGAAAGTTGGATTTTTAGACCTGGCTCAGTATTTTAATGCCCTTAATCTCACAGTAGATAGAAAGTTGGATTGTTAGACCAGGCTCAGTATTTTAATGCTCTAAATCTCACAGTAGATAGAAAGTTGGATTGTTTAGACCCGGCTCAGTATTTAACATGTTTAATGCTCCGAATCTCACAGTAGATAGAAAGTTGGATTGTTAGACCCGGCTCATTATTTTAATGCTCCTTATCTCACAGTAGATAGAAAGTTGGATTGTTAGACCCGGCTCAGTATTTTAATGCTCCTTATCTCACAGATAGAAAGTTGGATTGTTAGACCCGGCTCAGTATTTTAATGCTCTAAATCTCACAGTAGATAGAAAGTTGGATTGTTAGACCCGGCTCAGTATTTTAATGCTCTAAATCTCACAGTAGATAGAAAGTTGGATTGTTAGACCCGGCTCAGTATTTTAATGCTCCTTATCTCACAGTAGATAGAAAGTTGGATTGTTAGACCCGGCTCAGTATTTTAATGCTCTGAATCTTACAGTAGATAGAAAGTTGGATTGTTAGACCAGGCTCAGTAGTTTAATGCTCTGAATCTTACAGTAGATAGAAAGTTGGATTGTTAGACCAGGCTCAGTATTTTAATGCTCTGAATCTTACAATAGATAGAAAGTTGGATTGTTAGACCAGGCTCAGTATTTTAATGCTCTGAATCTTACAGTAGATAGAAAGTTGGATTGTTAGACCTGGCTCAGTATTTTAATGCTCTGAATCTCACAGTAGATAGAAAGTTGGATTGTTAGACCCGGCTCAGTATTTTAATGCTCTAAATCTCACAGTAGATAGAAAGTTGGATTGTTAGACCAGGCTCAGTATTTTAATGCTCTAAATCTCACAGTAGATAGAAAGTTGGATTGTTTAGACCCAACTCAGTATTTTAATGCTCTAAATCTCACAGTAGATAGAAAGTTGGATTGTTAGACCAGGCTCAGTATTTTAATGCTCTGAATCTTACAGTAGATAGAAAGTTGGATTGTTAGACCTGGCTCAGTATTTTAATGCTCTGAATCTCACAGTAGATAGAAAGTTGGATTGTTAGACCCGGCTCAGTATTTTAATGCTCTAAATCTCACAGTAGATAGAAAGTTGGATTGTTAGACCAGGCTCAGTATTTTAATGCTCTAAATCTCACAGTAGATAGAAAGTTGGATTGTTTAGACCCAACTCAGTATTTTAATGCTCTAAATCTTACAGTAGATAAAAAGTTGGATTGTTAGACCAGGCTCAGTATTTTAATGCTCTAAATCTCACAGTAGATCATGTAGATAGAAAGTTGGATTGTTTAGACCCAGCTCTAAATAATTTGTTGTTACTGCTTTAAAAATAATTTCAT